GTAGACCACGAAGTAGACCAAGAATAAGAAGAATACAAAGTCTGACAATTAAGTAATGAGACTGATTTTATTATGGCCAAGACAAAAATGCCATATATTAAGCAAAGCATGGAATCTAAAGAGACAACATTCGTCTATGATCTGGCAACTTTTCATCTCCGCTCGATAAGCAGACAATAAACAAGCCCCCTATTTGTTGACCTTGTCTGAGATGCATTGTTACGTAATCAGCACGGAGCAAAAATAGAGAGACCATTCATACAATTTTAATGCAAGATTTTGGCAAGAAGAAAGTTGCTTGCCGGTTTGTACCACATTCGTTGTTTGATAACCAAAAACATTAGCGGTCTGAGTACACCCGAGACATCATCAAAACAAGAATTTTTGGCCCCAAAACAAGTGTGTTCTCAGCCTTCCACCCTATTTCTCAGATTTGTCTCCCTGTGATTATTTTCTATTAAAACAAAATTAAAGTTTTGATTGAAAGGACGCTTTTTTAACGATTTTGATGACACCCAAAGGGCTGTAAAATCGACTTTGAGGGTCATAGCAACAGAAGAACTACAGAGGTCGTTCCAATGTTTGTTAAATCGTGCCACTTGCTGTATTAATGCACAAGGGGCTTACTTTGGATAAAATACAGGTTATATCTGCATCTGCTGATTATTTTATTTTTATGGAATTAGTCTCATTACTTAATTGTCGGACCTTGTAGAACATCCCAGAAACTACGAGTAGAACAGCACAAAGTGTCTTTGGTCGAGGAAAGCAAAACAGCAAGACAGAAAATGTTACCGTGTATGTGTAAGACAGTTCTGAGTCATCTTCTGCTCCGTCGTTTGCATAGTTCTTCTTCTTCTTCTTCTTTTTCTTCTTCTTCTTCTTCTTTTTCTTCTTCTTCTTCTTCATTTTTCATCATTCGATTTCTTTTCTTCCTTATACCCTCATTTCTTCTTCTTTCTTCAAATGACTTCATTATTATCATCATCTTAATCCTGCTATCACAACAACCACCACAATCTTCTTTTGCTTTATTATCATCATCATCATTATCACTGTCATCATTATCATCATTATCATCATCCTCATCTTGTTGTTGTTGTTGTTATTCTTCTTCTTCTTCATCTTCTTCTGCTTCTTCTTAGTCTCCCAATTTAAATCAACTTTGAGCTGGTATCGAAAAGGTGTCTGGAAAGTTACGGCCGCCTGGATAATATTCCCACATCATACAAGAAGTGCAGATAGATCTATACGATTACATACTAGCACCGTATTCTCCATTCACCTCAAAACGTTGACATAGAACCTGTACTTCTTTAATAAGATTTGTAATGGGTGTGACTTTTGGGTAGTAGTAGTAGTTATAATAATAATAATAATAATAATAATAATAATAACAATAACAATAATAATAATAATAATAATATTAATAATAATAATAATAATAATAATAATAATAATAATAATAATAATAATAATAATAATAATAATAATAATAAAAACAAAAAAATATTACAATAGTGAATTTTGATTTTATTATGATTTCATTTTCATTTACTATCATAAAAATAACATTTGAAAAATCATTTTTTTTTAAATCTCAGACTATTCTAGTGATTTGTCTGGAGATTGTCCTATTCCAGACAGCTACTTCAAGGTTTGAACAATCCTGCGACTTCAAGAGTAGCACTTGTGATGGCAAACCCACAGGGCAAATCCCAGATACCCTGTTCAACGTCTTAAGAGCAGGGACCTGTGAACATGTAGGCACAGGAACTTTTTCTCCACCCGACGGCATTTTTTTTATTGGGGGGTAAAAAGCTGTGGGTATGGGAAGAGAGAGGTGTGGATGGGGGGGGGGGGGGGTGAGTTGGGGTTGCGCTCAGAAAAAAAAAAAAATGCCAGCAGTCTATGGTCTTTAAGCACACAGACTATATATAAAGTTCTCTGTTTAACTATTTGTTTATACTTTTCGTGGTTGGTTCACACCCTTTTTCTTTTTCTTCTTTAATTTTTTTAACGTTCCTCACGCACGCCCCCTCCCCAGTTTTCCAGCGTCGCATTGATTATGACTAACATCTAACGGAAGAGAATAACACAGGTATAAACCCAGGAAACCCCGTTCATTCGTTCTCATATAGATTATTATAAATATTCCAACATTTAAAGTTTCACTTTTTGTTTATACATTTAATAATATTTCAGTTATATCATTATATTTATTTGTACCATTCATCATATTAATAGTAATAATATTTATTATTATTACTGGAAAAAAAACACGGCTTAAGCCTCCGGAGCGCCTCCTCGTCCTCTAAAACATTATAAGGCACTGTTTTCCAAACTTTTTTTTAGTTGCGGCGCCTTTCTTTAATTAAAATTGTTCTACAGTGCCCTAACCTAAGTAAACGTATGACTGTTTGTATGTCAGAGGGTATTTTCGAATATTTCGCGGCGCAGTACACAGTTTGGGAATCACTGTAAGAAGGGGTTAAACTACTCCAGTTATTTCTTTTTTCCCCTGCCTAAAGTGACAATTACACTAGTAACTGCTACACCAAGTGTTTGCTGGTGGAACATGCAGTTCTATGATGATAATCACTGCACGACTTAGTAATCTCAATGATTTTCTAAGTGTTTAATAGAATCTAAAAACTATATATCGTGTTTTTGAAAGAAAATTACAAATAGCTGTAACAACAGGAGACAGTAACCTGATTTCTTTTATTGAAGTCTCAGATAGATATGTTTGCCTTCACTGTGTTTAGATCGTAGATCTGAAAATATAAAACAGATACACATATTTCTCATGAACAGAGCGAAACAAATTTACAAGAGCTATATGGACTTCTAGAACATCCAATTGTCTGGAAATGTGGATGTGCAGGACGTCAGGGATGTGTGGCTAGGCGATGTCTGTAGGTGCTGATAGTGAATGACGAACTAGCACTTAGATGATCGCTTAGCGACAACGCGTTCAACAGCCCACGGGCGTTTCCAACATTGTGACGGACGAGTGGAGACTCCAAGATACACAAGGAGTTCACTGACCACACTGTGAACAGCAGACTCGACAAAACAGACAGGGTTAGTTCCACGAAAGTCCTCCAAGAGACCGCCCATATACAGACTAGCTCAAATCTGATTGGTCGACCTTGAGTCACCAGACTTTTGCATACTGCTAACGGGGTGTTCAGCAATGCTGTTATCGCGTGTTGTATATTTAAGCACGTCAGCGCTTTCAACACCACAATCATCACATTCCAGATCGCTCAAACAGCCCGATCAGCCACGTATGTCTCTCGTTCGCTTACTAACTACCCATTCGTAGCCTGATTATCGATAGCTAGATACTGGTCAGACTCGCTTGATATTCGGCTGAGTTTGGCTCGACTAAGCTATCGGTGTCGTCTTCGTTTGGGTCATTAGCGGCCCGGGAGCACATCATTGTTGAGGAGCCAGTCATACCTGCCTTTGTGAACAGATTGTCTCGTGAACTGCAGAGAAAAGCACGCTCGGTGTACTTTTCAGTTCACTCAACGAGCCTTGCCAGACTCTGCAGGAATCGAGCTTTCGATAGCAGCCTGATCAGAAACAGCCTCAGCCTCAGCAACCATGGCCTGTGGTAAAACTAGCCAGAAAAAGCCTCAGCCAGACCGCATCACCCGTTCAAAGCCAGCGAACAAGAAAACCTCACCCAGCGAGGCACCGACCTCTCCAGAGAAGACGGAGCCGACACTGGGAGAAGATCCAGTTGAGACGCAAGTTACTTCAACCCAGGAACCAGCCGAACTGACCCAGACGCTGCCAAACATAGAAGCGACCCCAGCCGAGGCGCAGACACCTATTGAGAAGATGCGAGTTTCTCCGACCACCCCAGATGTGACGCAGAGAGGGAGAATAAGTCAGCCACAGACGAAGCAGCAGAACAGTACCTACTCACCCGAGATCACCCAGTATTCACGCTGTAACAGGGCGTGGCATACAGCCGCAACCTGCCGCAGCAGCCCATTGTGCCGTTACTGCGCTGGGCCACACAACTTCAAGAAAGATACCGACTTAAAAAAACACAACCCAAACAGAAGTTGCTCAAACTGCTCAGGCCCCCATAGCGCAAGATACCAGGGGTGCCCATACATCAAGGACTGTAAGAGATCACGGACAGCAACCACCACCAGACATTACTCCCGCCCAGGGGACAGACAGAGCTACCAGGTGCCCAGACCGCGAGATCTCACAGAAGCTAACAAAGTCCAGGACGAGATCTCTGACCTAAAAAAGAGAGATCGAGTTCCTACGGGAGGAGAACGCTGCCATAAAAACGAAGCAAGATCGTGACAGAGACGAGAACATTGAGATACGAAGGTTGCTACACGAGTCTCTCGAAACCCAGAAACGGCAGGAGATTGAACTAGCAGACAGTGGGAAGTTTAAGTGCGAACTCCTGGCAGTCCTGACGGCGTTGAGATAAATCATATTACAACGCACTGGCAGTACTCTAGAGACAATCTGTTGCCCATGCATACGCCCCCTCCCCCCCCCCCACGCCATTTTGTTTGTCTGCTGGACTTTTTTTTTTTTTTTACATCCATACGTTTGTAATCAAACAAGCTACAGAAACTGCCGGATCAGAAGAGCAGTGTTCTGTTCCCCTCTTGGGAACTCTTTCAGACCAGCTTCCAGACACAGTGATATACATATATCTATATCGGCGACCTGGTCGCCTATTGGGTCGCCGGTAGACAACTTCGTCGCTGGTCTGGACAGTATTTAGATCTGTCTACTTTGATCGTATCAACACTGCAGAAGTGCTTCTCATGGCTCTTGGTGGCGAGCAATGCTAGGCCATTTTATATGGCGCACATAACCTAGTCACACTTATAACCTAAAGCTCCCCATTCATGCATGCTGTTTGATCGTGACGATTGTTTCCTAGCAAAGCACCTACATATCTACAATAATATACATAATATCGTAACCACAATAATAAAAAGACGTACGTTTCATTGCAAATAGGACAACATTGACCCTCCTTGTGTATGGGTAGGGTTCCATCTGGGCAGAAATGGGCGAAAACCGTGTAGATACAGTCGATGACCGCACATGCTGCTGTTCCTGATGAGGTGCACATGCAATGATCACATGGGTTGCTTGTCACAATTGGGCCTTGCTTATGGGCGGAATGTGACAAAAATACAGTTCAGTTTGTCTGTGTGCAACTTCCTTGACATACACTTACATTCACGCACATACACACACATACACGCATAGTTTCCCTTGACCACCCTACTGTTTGTTCTACATGGGGGTGGGGGAGCCAAGGACTCCACCCCCCCCCCCCCTTTTGCTCAAAATCTTTTTAAAAAACTAAGCAGGTCTCCATTAACCATGAATTCACATTTCATATTATTTCAAATCTAGTTTTTATTTTTTTTTATTTTTCGTTAACTTGTTTTTGTGTGTGTTTGTTTTACATTTGCCATTCATTATGGACTAAAACCAGGATTATGCCTCATGAAGCCCGACATTTGTTGCCCAGAAAAAAAAAATATGTATGTTTCTGTGTCTGTGCAGGCGCGCAGAACCACAATAAACATTGTGGATATTATGTAAAAATATTCATCCCCCGTGTGGGTTTTGTTGTTCCATTGGGGACACACAAAGAATTGAACTTCTACCGCCTAGCAACCATATCGTAAGAGTCGACTAATCAGGGATGATTTCTTCCAAGGAGTGCATCTGCCTGAGAAGCGAGGAACCAAGAGACTGTTAAAAAAAAAAAAAAAAAAGCTACAACGGATGTACACGCAAAGCGCAAATTCTAGAACAATACTAAAGTTCAGAAGTGGATAGGCAAACATGACTTTTCGCTGGCATTAACATACTGTGAACGCGAAAAAAAAGTCATCTACCATTATCTTACCAGATAAGATCTTAATCTCACTGGTGCGCTTCTCTGTTTATCTTCCCATGTTCTATACAGTCACGTGCCTCTTCTGCAGTGCAGCTGTGAAAGCATACAAAACCTAGCTGGATATCCTTTGCAGTTTACAGGCTTTTAGAAACAAACCCCAGCAGCTGTTGGTTCGTTGTGGTTGAATTAAGCCGGTTTTATTATCAGTAGTTTGTCATTGTCCCTTAAACTGCTGACGTTCACATTGTTGCTGAAATCAAGGCAAATAGATCTGTCAAATCAAAAATCCCTGAATAGTGATGTTGGAATTATCAAGCCGCATAGATAAACCTGATCCCCAGACGCCGACTTCAATAAAAACTTGTCCAGTTAACTCTATGCTGTATAATCGTTCACAACACGCAAATCACTATTTATTGCAAAACTTCAGCACACATTATTAATTGATTATTTATTGCCGTATCATCACACAACACGTAAGAAACCAAGAACCTACTTTCACAACAGCGAAAAGACGGAAATACATTAATACAGATGTGTAACAAGATCTACCAGTCTGTCAAAAACGATGCTATAGGGCTTTGTAGAGGGCATCATGCAGACAATTAAAGACCTGGTGACAGAATGTGGCTGAATGAACAGGCCTCAACATGCAAACATCAAGTCCACAGCTTCTTAACGACATATGCCAAGGGAGCTAATCAATCAATAGCAGTTGGTAAACTAACGACTGGCTGTGATTTGGGAATGATAATAATCATGATGACGATGATGAACACCTATTTTAGAACGTTTAGAAAACTGATCAGAAACCAAAAATGGTTAAATCTAAAATTACCGGATAAGTGATTCCCTTGTAAAAACAATCTGCTCTTGTTCCCCTCCAGCTTACAACAGTCAGCAGTAGAACAGTGGTCAGAAATGTGTGCTTCTTCATTGTTGGTCTTGACAAATAAATGGTCTGTACTTTCTGTTGCAGAAGCACTAATTATCTCTATATCTAGCTTCATACATATGACTAGTTTCTACTACTGTATGTAGATAGACGCAAAAACAGTGCATGTCTTAGATAAGAAAGTATTTTTCGTGTTTTTGTTTTTATCTTGGTTTTTTTTTTCCACACGTAGGTATTTTCTGTTGTAGATAAGATTTAATGGACAATGAATTGTGATTTATGTTTAGGTTTTGTATTGTATAAAACAGGCATGAAAGTAGTGCACAATTCTTCGAGAAAAGAAAGAATACAACAAACAAAATATCGATGCAGTATGAATGCCCGAATCTATCAATACAGACTTTAATGTACACAGCCGTTTCAAATGAAAACATTGATTGGGCGATAAACATTACAGTAAACTTGCCACCGTCAGTTAACCTTTCAATATTGTCCTTAGAGTGTTTAGAACCTGACGTCATAGTGCAGATAAACAATTGCCGTCATAATGACAGTTGAAAGATGACCTCTACACTTTTAACATCCACCAAAGAGGAGCAGTGATCTGTTATTCGCTGTTAATCAGTAAAGGGGTGAAACCTATATAAATTCATTTGTGAATTAAGGCTGAGTATGTTTATGCACGTCTGTCAGGCCAGCAAGTGTATGAGTGTAGTAGGAAGTTTCAAAACGGCTGGAATTCTGTGATAGACTGTTCATCACCGGGTCACTCACATTGAGTAGTGACTCCAGAGTCGATTGTAACCATTTAAAAATTTCCCACAGTGTTCTCACGAGCTCAACACTTTTGACATCATTAATAACAGCACTGACATGGTTCAAGATAATGGAGTGGTTGCTGAAATTTCTAAACACGTTTAAAGTTTTCTTTGAAAGCCTCATCGTACTTAAAGAAAACCACTCAACGCTAAGAACTATAAAATAGTATGATCAAGAAGATGTATTACCAGCCTATGGACTGAATTATATATTTACAATGTTTATCGGAAAAAGTAAAGTAAGACGCCTTTCCTCGCCTTTAGCGGTATTGGGCATATAGGGCTAGACCTATATTTTATAGACCAATCTGCACTCGGTGGGTGATGTAGTCGAAATCACGCCGACCACCTTTACTTCCTAAAAGTTTATCTGTTACCCATTCAAGGCATGGTAGACCTGGAGATTAAGGCCATTTTTGAACAAAGAAAGTCAGGATCCCAACCCACCATCGTCTGATCCAATCCACAGGCGAGCGTCTAGCCGCTACACCTCGGCGGCTCCTGCTATGTTTATTGAATTAGAACACTAATTTGATAGACGAATCGATACTCACTGGGTCTGCTTCTTTTTGTTTCTCCAGTGTCGTGAGCCCACGTGGGTAAATACACTGATATTGTGAGGGTGTGGGTTTGAACCTTAACAATGCCCACCCACGTGAGATTCTGGACTATTATCTAAGCTATGTTGATCCTAGACAGTCCTGGATAGCCAAGAAAACAGCGAGTGGCTCGTTCCATTAAATGAAAGTTGCTGAACTTGTATCCACAGGAGTAGGAGAATGGATAGATAGATATCAGGATAAACCCACTGTGATATTATCTGGATACACAGTTAACCCCTCCGACTGTTCTCCTCTCCTGTCATTACTTAAAAGCCCCCATCAAGTGATTTAAATATTTGTGAGCTGAAGTAAACTAGTATGCACAAAGACACTTGAACCTAAGTACACAATTTACTCAACTATTTTATAAAAACATGAACAAGATTTATTGAATAAATCTAACCAAAATTAAATGAACGCGTTTATGCTAGTAGAGTGAAGTTTGTGTTACTGATAACAGTTTATAAATATACCTAACTCCTAGTAGGAGAATTCACCGTGGACAGTTCTCGGCTTGAGACCCTGCCTATTCTTTTCCAGTTTGTCATCCTCACTGCTTTCAAGCAGGTCGTTACACTCAGACTGTCGGCAAAGAATGGATGCCTACTAGTCCCTGCCCAGTGTGGGAACTGTGATAAAAGAAACAAGCGCATATGTGTAGTATCTTATCTAGATGTACACTAAGCATGTATATTATAATAACATCAAACATGTTTATTCAAATAAAACATTTCACCTCTCCATTTTCACATTCACTCCTGTCCAATTTGGAAGGGCTTATGTCTCACATTGAAGCCGTTACATTTACTGCCTTCCTCTACTCACGTCCGGTAATGATAGTCAAGTCATCTATGTCTGATGTCATCTCTCGTACTAACTCAAAATGACAATAAGTCAGACAGAACAAGTTCTGGCATCAATGCTACGAACAATGGACGCGCCCAGAATGCTAACAATATTTCTGGGGCGAATCAAATAACAAATCTCATGGATTTTCTCTCCGGGGTCAATCTCCGCATTAGCCTCCTGGGAGTTAAACACATTTCAGTGTGTTAGCTGTATGTAATACAGATTCACATTACCCACACGTGACAAGATTGCCAAAGTTATCTTCACGCTTGTGATTTCAAAAACATGATAGTTCATTAAATTTCAATGGTAACAACAACATTTACGTTTTACAACATTGAAACACATGTGCACGATATAAAGCAATGTGACAGTGTCCTACGAGAATGGAGAAATGTCCGCCTAGGAGTCTACAAAGTGATGAAGACACACACTTGAGCGAAAAGACAGATTTCTATCAGGAAATAAAGGTTTTCAAACTAGTTTTCCTTACCTGGAAATGAAAACACAATGCCAAAAGTTCTGTCTCAAGCTTAGGTTTTTAAGCCCAACAGATAGCATGCTCTGGACAGAGTCTCATTTACCAGTTCTAGAATCACACTGTTATAACTTTTATTAAGCTCCTCCTACACTACTCCTAAAATCATTCTCAGTCAAGGATGTCACAGCTCCTCCCCGTGGGTAAGTCGTTTCGCTGTCAGTCAGGGCTGTACAACACTTGTTTAAATTACCACGGTCACATTCTCCAGGTTCAATCAAACTGGTCAAAGCTAATACACAACGTCACACCTCCCATCCCTTCTTTAACCTGCCGTCACCTTTATCCAATGTGTCAATCTTCTGTTAACACTTTCGGCTGACTAAGTCAATAGTGACCGTCGGATATGCCCTCAAGTTAGGTAACCTCAGGGGGAGATAATTACAATTGGCCCTTGTTACCTGCTCCTATATGTCTGGCTAAAAGATAATTATCTGACACCAAAGTTTTGGCAAGTGAAATCTCAGTCACAAAGTCTGAGCTAGTCAGTCTCCCTGGCGTCACAAAGACTACCTTAACACTTAACTTTTGGAAAAGAGTCTCTGTGTTAGATA